GTACTGCCCAAACAAATCTTCCACAGGATCGGCGATGGAATGGAGCGACCCCCGCAACTGTGGAGGAGGAGGCGAGACGTGGGGAAACAAAAGGCAACGATACACTGCTACTGCGCGGACCCCTCCCGAGGTGCGTCCTGACAGAACTTCGAGGAACAAGCCCGCCGCGGCGACGAGGGATCTACACGACGACCAGCGGCATCGGTACCCATGCATGCTTGTGTTGTGCCCCATGCTCGCTTCTGATGGACCTGGCGCCCGATGGCAGCCCCCCTGGGGGCCGACATCCAGAAAAGCCGCCCAAAAGGAAAAGAGAAATCTAGAAATCACCCACAAAACAAAGCAAACCGTGGGAGATCTGGGAAATCGCCCACGCTCGGCGGTGGACAAACCTCCCTGTAATAAACCTCCCCTGAGCGGAAACGGCCTGGGACCGAAACCGACGGACCTGGATCCGCAGAAATGACGGCCGCGACGCCCTCTCGCGCACCGAACACGGCCAATTCCTTAATCGACGTGTCAGGGTAGGAGGTCGATCCACCTCCGACACACACCCCGACGCTCTATCACCCCGCAGCCCTCGCCGCGCGAGCGGCGCGGCCGCCCGCTGCAGAGAGAGAGAGAGAGAGAACGCGGCGGCCAGGGCCAGGCTGGCCAGGCCGCGCCGCCCGCCTGGGCCGTCTCCTCCTGCGTCAGGGGCTTCCTCTGGGCAAGGTCGCGCCTCTCTCTATATCTTTCTCTACCTTTGCCTCGCTGTCTCGCATGTTGTTTGTTCTCTCTCTCTCTCTCTGTCTCTCTCTGTCTCTTCGTCTCTCCAGCTCTCTGTTTCTGATTCTCTCTCTTTCTCTCTGTTTGTCTGTTTGTCTGTCTCTCTCTCTCTCTCTCTCTCTCCCTTCATCTCTGTCACTCTCTCCCTCTGTTTGTTTTCTCTCTCTCTCTGTGTTTCTGCCTCCTTCTCTCTCTCTCTCTTTGTCTGTGTCTGTCTCTCCCTCTCTCCCTCTCTCTGTCTATAGGAGTGTTTCTATGTCTCCTGTCGGGACCCTAGGACAGTGAACAACAAAACGACTCGGGACGAAAAGCTGGCCCTTCTCGGTAAGGAGCCCAGTCCTCCGAGGAGCCACGCTGCGAGAGCGAAAGCGTCAAGAATGAAGTTTAGTTCCGAGGCGGCGGGGGGGTCTGCGCTGGATGGGCCAAGAAGAAAGCCAAGAGGGGGGGGGCAGGGACACATCCGCGCAAAATCGGACCCCAGACCCCTCCTGGGGTCGGAACTGATGAGTTCCTCGAGCCGCATCCCGCCGTGGCGACAAAGGGGGGGCCCTATCCTCCCTTCTCTGCTGGCCGGAACCAGTGCTGACCCACCCGACCCACCCGGCCGGCTCCAGCCTCAAGGGATCCACGTGGTGAAAGGCAGCATGCCGCTCCAGCTCCGTTCCTCCGCTTCGGACGCCCGGAACGGGTACGGAAAATCATGGGCACGATGCCCAACAACAAATGCTGTCAAAAATCGGCAGCGGCCGCTGGTGCGCAGGCGGCCCTCTGTCCAAAAATTGACCACGCCTGCGGCGGCGCGGACAGCGAGCCCTGTTTGAAACGGGCAAGAACTGCTGTTTGGGCATCGTGCCCATACTTTCCGTACTCCAGATGTCGTAATGAAGGGAGGGGGGTCTCATTTCGGGGGGGGGTCTCTTCCAGGCTATCTTGGAGGGCCTGGGGGGTCTGGGGACGATGTTTTCGAGGGTTCTCCCACGGGGGAGGTCTGAAATGGCTTGTCTTGGAGGGTCCAGACCCCCTCCCTTTTATTACGAGATCTGGAGTACCCATTCCGTCCGTGCCGATCCGCGGGCTCCCCTGATGGGCCAATCTTCCGCCACCGCTGCCAGAGGTCGAAGACGGGGGCGAAGGAAGGATGGGGAAGTCCTCCTCCTCCTCCTCCTCCTCCTCCTCCTCCTCATCATCATCATCATCATCATCATCATCCTCATTATCATCATCATCATCATCATCATCATCATCATCATCATCATCATCATCATCATCATCATCATCATCATCATCATCATCATCATCAGCATCAGCATCACCATCATCACCATCATCATCATCATCATCATCATCATCATCATCACCATCACCATCCTCACCATCATCATCATCATCATCATCAGCATCATCATCATCGTCATCATCATTATCATCACCCCACTCCTCCTCCTCCTCCTTCTCCTCCTCCTCCCCCTCCTCCTTCTCCTACTCATCATCCCACTCCTCATCCTCCAACTCGCCGTCCGCCTCCTCCTCCTCCTCCTCTTCCTCCCTGTGTCCTTCATCGGCCCATCATCCCCCCCCCTCCTCGCGCCCCGCGCAGCCCCGACCACGCCGCTCCTCGCAGCCTCCGCCTTCGAGAGCTCGGCCTCGCCCTGCTCCTCCTCTCGGGGGGGGCCGCCGCGGACCGCCTCACCCGTCCTGGCCGGCGCCCGATCGAGGAGGGCCCTGGGTCGGCGTGCTCAAGCGATGGGGCCCTGGGACACACAGACAAAGAGGCACAGAGATCCCAGGATCCCTTCACTCTTGTCTACCATTTCCCAGATCTTCGTCTTCCCCCCCCCACACACAGACACTTCCCATAGGTTCCTATCCTGGGGATCCATGAACCGTTGTGTCTGTGCGCGCGCATGTGTGTGTGTGTGTGTGCGTGTGCGTGTGCGTGTGCGTGTGTGTGTGCGTGTGTGTGCGAGTGCGTGTGCGTGTGCGTGTGCGTATGCGTGTGCGTGTGCGTGCGTGTGTGTGTGGGTGTGTGTGTGTGTGTGTGGGTGCGTGTGCCTGTGTGTGTGCGCGTGTGCGTGTGCGTGTGCGCGTGCGTGAGCGTGTGTGTGTGTGTGTGTGTGTGCGTGAGTGCGTGTGCGTTTGCGTGTGCGTGTGTGTGTTTGTGTGTGTGCGTGTGTGCGTGTGCCTGGGCGTGGGCGTGGCCGTGTGTGTGTGTGTTCGTGTGTGTGTGTGTGTTTGTGCGTGTGTGTGTGTGTGTGTGTGTGTGGTGAGGTGTGCCGTGCTGATGTGTGGTTTTGTGTTGTGCGTGGGTGTGCGTGCGTGCGTTTTTGCGTGGTGTGTGCGTGCGTGCGTGTGTGTGGGTGTGGTGTGTTGTGGTGTGCGTTGTGTCTGTGGGTGCGCGCGTCTATGTGGGGTGTCCTGCGGCGTGTGTTTGTTGTGTGCGAGTGGTGGACGTAGTGAGTGTGTGTTGTGAGTGAGTGTGTGTGTGGTAAGTGCGTGCGTGTGTGTGTGTGTGTGTGTGTGCGTGGGCGTGTGTGCGTGTCGTGGGGCGTTGGGGCGGGCCGCGTGTCGTGGCGTGTGTGTGTGTGTTGTGTGCGTGCGTGCGTGCGTGCGTAGCGTGCGCGTGCGTGGCGTGCGAGGCGTGGCGGTGAGGTGCGTTGACGTTGTGTGTGGGTGTCGGTGCGAGGGCGTGTGCGTGTGCGTGTGTGTGCGTCGTGTCGTGTGTGTGGTGCGTGCGTGTGGGGTGTGTGTGAATGTGGGGCTGGATGACTTGTGCGTGAGTGTGTGTGCGGGGCGTGGCCGCGTGTGGCGTGTGTGTGGGTGTGTGTGTGTGTGATGTGTGTGTGCGTGCGTGCGTGCGTGTGTGTGTGTGTGTGTGTGCGTGTGCGTGTGTGCGTGTGCGTGTTCGTGTTTGCGTGTGTGTGTGGGCGTGTGTGTGTCTGTGGGAATATGTGTCTCTGTGTGTTCCCCTCCTGAGCGCGCCCGCTCGCGCCGCTGACACAAAAAATTGGGGCGGGATGCGCAGGACCCGTTTGGCGGCCTCCGCGGATTCTCGCTGGGCCCTGGGGCCGTCCGAGAGGAAGGACCCGAGATGACGTGCTGCTGGCCCTGGGGAACGGCCCGGGCCTTCTTTTGGAGTCCCGAAACGGTGCGGTGACAGACCGTTCGGTGACCTCGAAATCCCCCAATCCCTCACCGCACGGTCCGTCACCGCACGGTCTTGGGACCCTGGAGGCCCCTGTCGCCCGACACATCCTCGGAGAACGACTCGAGTCCCAAAACCGTGCGGTGACCCCGAATCCCCACCGACTCATCGCACGGTCTGGTCACCACCCCGTTTGGGGGCCCCTAACTTCTGGGGCCACGTGAAAAAACTAAGAGATCGAAGATCGGGGACGTCGGAGTACACGTCGTGCATTTCTGATCGTGCTCATTTCTAACCGTGCTCGTTTCTCTAACTGTTCCTGGCCCCCTGGTGACCAGGAAGAGGCCCAGGATCAAACGATTAGAAATGACAGGATCCTGCCTCCCAACAAAAATCAAAGAACTTTCGAAGAATTAGATATTACACCTGGAAAACCCCAATCAGTGGATGACTTGAAAATTGATACTATGGATCTTGACATCGATTGTGAAATCGATAATGAGATCGATAGTGGAATCGATAGTGAGGACGATTGTAAGGTCGATCGTGAGACCGAGAGTGAATCGATTCAATGAGATCGAAAGTGAGATCGATCGCGAGATCGCTCATGCGATCTCTAGTGGGATCGCTTGTGAGATTGATACTGAGATCGATTGTGAGATCGATGGTGAGATCGATCGAGAAGTCGGTAATAAGAACGATGGTGAGACCGATCGATGGGAAGATCGACCAGGAACCTGGGAACCCGGGAACCTCGCCGCCCTCCGAAATCGGCATGGAACCCGGAACCGGGAATCGAACCGGGACCCCGGGAACCCGGGAACCCAGCCTGCCACCAAAATCGGCGGGGAACTTTCGCCAAATCCTTCAACTTCCGCCCCTCCTGGTTAAGCCAGGAAGGCACAGGGCTTGGCGACCCCAACCCCCGGCTTCAGTGGGGGACAACAACCTATTGGGGATGCACGATGGGGGGCGCCCATCATCGCGAGGGCCCCCAGGGGTGAACATCCGAGTTTCCATCCTGTTCTGAGCGGCCCGATTTGTCAGGGAAGCTCAGAGACTGGGGCCGCGAAATCACTTGCGAACGCCAATCCTACGCCCAGGACGGGCCCGGCCAAGATCGGTGAGGCGACCAACCGACGCCGCGGGACCCTCCCGCCCCTGGAGCTACCCGGACTGCGCCTCTGAGGGGGGCACCAAAGAGGATTCGGGATTGTCTCAGGGGAGGACAACTTCGAACTAAAAATCTGCAACGCATCGCCGATAGATCGGCGAGAGGCCCCCGATAGCGGAGCCGCACGTTTCTGGGCGGGATGGCCTATCAGGCCCCGGGTCGGGGATGCATGTTTCATTGGGGACTGATGCTTTACCCCTCCCTGACGCCCGCCGATGTGATTGATGCCAATGCGCGGCCCTAGGGGTCCCGCGGCCAGTGCCTCGCCACTGACCCATCGTTGATCCCAGACACCCGACGTAATGATTTTTTCATTACGTCGACCCCCAGAGGTCCCGACCCTTTCCCCATGACCGGCTTTGCATCCTGAGTCGTTTTTTGACGCTCCCGAGGCCCGGTGAGGGCCCCCGGAGGCCGAAAATTAGGAAAAACCTCCCGTTGTGATTTTTTCATTACTCGAGGGGGTCTGGGATGGCCCCAGGGCCAGACATCTCGGGCCCCAGCCGAAACCGGGGAGAACAGCGCCCGCACCGAGCCCACCACATCGTCGGAGTGCTCTGGGCCCCGAGCCTCTCTCCCCCCTCCGGCCAGAGGCACAGACCACTGCAGGGGCCCTGACACACACACACACACACACACACACAGATAGAGACACACACATAAAACTATCCCCCATACTTTCCCATACTTTCGGGGCTTTTGTCTTCCCCCCCACTTCCCATCGTTTCCCATATTTTCTGGGGACTCGAGGATTAATTGTGTCTGTGTGTTTCTTTCCTCTCCTGAACAACTGCATACGCGTTACCTTTCGGAGGGCGCACGGATTTCCGAGGATCGGCGCTGGGCCCCCCCTCCCTGGAGCGCGGAGCGCACGGCGCCAGAGGCACAGCGAAGGGGGGCCGAGCGCAAAACCAAGAAGCCCGCGCGGTTATGCCGTGTTCTGTGAGTATTGTTTATCCGGTCCCCATCCCCAGCGGCGTCGCCTGGGCCCCACTGGCCGATTCACCCCCCTAGATGGGGAGATCGGCCGCTCCCTTCGGGTTTCGAGGGGTGTATCCATGGGGCAACTGGGGGGATAATTTGGTGGGGGTCTCGGGGATGGGGATGGCGATGAGGATCGGATAAACGATACTGATTCTGTTCCTCGACTGACGCTGCCCCTGGGCCTCCGCGCCCCCGCCCGGCGGCGGAGGCGCCATCGCCGACGCCTTCGACCAGGCGCGGGCCGGCTCCGCCGCCAGCTCGGGCGCGCCCTTGGCGGGCTGCGCGCCCTCCGCCGCTGGCTCGGGCGGGCCCTCGGCCGGCGCCGCCTCCGCCGGCGCGGGCGCGGCCGCTGCCGCCGTGGGCCCCTCCACCAGCTCCAGGTTCGAGGGCTTCACGGCCACCTCGTCGCCCGAGCTGAGCCTGACCTTCACTGTGCCCGGCGGGCTCGCGGCCGTGGAGCCCCCGCCGGCGGGAAGCACCTCCCCCCGCTCGCCGTTCAGCTGCGGCATCTTGGTCAGCCCCAGAATCTTCACGGCCTGCCCAGGCACGAAGGCAGCCTCGTCCACGTCCCTCTCTGGCACCAGCTGCGAAGCTGCCGCAGCGGCCTCGCTGGGGCCCGCGGCCATCGGGTCGGCGTCGCCCGCTTCCTCGACGGGCCGAGCAGATCTGCCAGGATCGCGACCGGCACTGCGATGGCGGCCAACACTGCGTCCGCCCGCGCTGCGGCGTCCCACGCTGCGGCGGCCTGCGCTGCGGCGGCCCGCACTGCGGCGGCCTGTGCTGCGGCGCCCTGCGCTCCGACGGCCTGGGCTCCGACGGCCTGGGCTGCGGCGGGCCGGGCTGCGGCGGCCTGGGCTGCGGCGGCCTGGGCTGCGACGGGCTGTGCTTCGGCGGCCTCGGCTGCGCCGGCGTCGGCTGCGCCGGCCCACGCTGCGGCGGCCCGCGCTGCGGCGGCCCGCGCTGCGCCGGCCCACGCTGCGGCGGCCCGCACTGCGGCGGCCCGGGCTGCGGCGGCCCGGGCTGCGGCGGCCCGGGCTGCGGCGGCCGGGGCTGCGGCGAGCTGGGCTGCGGCGAGCTGGGCTGCGGCGGCCTGGGCTGCGGCGGGCCGGGCTGCGGCGGCCCGGGCTGCGGCGGCCTGGGCTGCGGCGAACTGGGCTGTGGCGGCCTGATGGAACGAGACATCTTCTATAACTGCAAGCGGACCCTGGGGCGCAGGGTGAGTCCAGTGCGCGACGGAATCCGGGAAGGATCAGGTGGAGAGGTGAGGAGGGCCAGCAGACGAGAGGGCACAGAAAGGGCATGGGGACGACAGACTCCGCCAGCGTGCCCCTGGCGCGCTGGGGCGTGGCCCCCTTGTCCCCACACTTAGCTGCATGCCTCGCCCCCCCGCCGGAGGCTCCCCGGGCGGCCTGACGCTCCTCAGGGGCTCTCCTAAACTCTCCAAGGCTGTCCAGACGGCCCAACATGGCCATCCAGGCCGCCAAGATGGCACAGCATTGTCTCGAGAGCCACCCAACTTCCAAAGAAGACCCCAAGATGCGCCAGAGGAGCCCCGAGAGGCGTCCAAGACATCAAGGCGAAGACCAAAGGCCCCCCGGAGGACCGAAAGCATTCAAAACAAAACCCTTAGGGAATGCACAGGTGTTTGGATGCGTTGCATTTCCTGCGTCTCTCGGCTCAAGATGGTTCCACGACGATGTCCTCGGGTGAATCAAAGAGAAGCCAGAAGGAGCCCGATGGGGACCTCCAGAAACCCTCCCCCACGAAAGGTCCATGACAGCCCAACGAAGGGCCCCAGGACGTCCCAAGAGTTGCCCAGGACACCCCAAACGGGCCCCGAGAGGCCCACAGGACAGCTCCGAGAGACTCCCCAGACGGCAGAGCTGGGCCCAGGACGGCACCACCACACCGACTGCGGCCCAAGAGCCCCAGGATGACCCGAGAGGCCACAGGAAGGAGGCGCGTCATTAGGGCCCCTTGGGAGGTGCTCGGGGCGCCGACACGGAGCTGCCCCGGCGCAGCGGCTGCACCGCAGACGGCGCGAGGAGGGCGAGAGAGACGGGAGCCAGGCTGCAACAACTAGACTCTCGGGAGGTCCTCCCGCAGCACGTGCAGCGCCACGAGATCTTGCCCCGATGAGGGCTCCAGGGTCACGAGGTCCTGTCGACCTTGGGCCTCGCAGAACGCCCCACGGAACTCCAGTTGGTGCGCCCTGGGCCGTCGGCAGTTCCATCGGGTGCCCGCTGGCTGGCCGGCTTCTTGGAAGGGGGCGTCTGGTGGGGACTCGGGACATCTCGGGCCCTTGGCCTCGTGAAGCGGCCGCCGACACCACTGCACCCGACAGCAGGGTTGGAACCCTCCAGACCGGCGGATGTCGGGGAGGCCGTCACTTCCGCATCGCGTGCAGCGATCGGCAGGCGCCGGGTGCAACGATGACTCTGTCTCGCCCCCTGGGTTGCCGCGAGCCGTATCCCCTCTGGCCCAGGCCTCTCCCCCCCCCCGCCCCCCCAAAGGGCGGAGGGCCAGTGAAGAAGCCGACGGACGAGACGAGGCAGCAAATACGCCGACCTCCCCCCTTGCGAAGAGGCGACGATCAGTGGCCAGGGGGATTTGGAAGCTGCACCGTCGCGAGGAGGCAGGACCAACGAGCCCCCCCCCCTCTTAAAACAGGGCTAGGATCGGGATAAATCGCTCCAGAGCGTTCCGGAGCGCTCTCAGAGCGTTCCGATCCGATTTTGTCCCGATCTTCGTGTCGTTTGACCTCTGCCTGCCCCGTCCCCTGCGGGCCCGATCGGCCCGTGGTGGCCCAGAGGGGCGCGAGCCTGGGCGAGGCTCGGCCGGTCTGCCGGGATGGCGGCGCCGGGACCTCGGGACCCAGGTGTCCCAGGACCTCCTCCTCCTCCTCCTCCTCCTCCTCCTCCTCCTCCTCCTCGATAGCTCAGGGATGGACAGAGCCCCCTTTCGTAAAACGTGGCTTAGTGAGAACGACCCGAGGCCCAAACCTGGCGGGCGCAAGCCTGGAAATGAACGGCCACGGCGCCCTCTCGAGGACCGAAGACGGAGAATTCGCTCATCGACGTGTCACTGTTGAGGGTTCTGTCCACCCCGGAGTGAGGATGTGAGGGGCAACGGCAGGGGGGGACTGGCACGGAGGGGGGGATGCATCGACCTGGAATCGGCGATACCTCGCCGACAGAGCGGCGATGGGTCCCCGACAGTGAACCCGCACCTTCCTGGGCAGGCTGGGGCTATCGGGCCCCTCTCGGCGATCCATGGGCGCTTGCGTGTCGATGCCTTCCCCCCCTATGCCTATCCCCCCCCCTATCGTTGCCCCCGAGGATGGCGACGCGGGGCCCTCGGGACCCGGGGCCGACCTGGCGGAACCAACTGCGTGTAACACTGAGAAAATTGAATTTTCGAGTCTTTAAGCTGCTATCGAAGTGAGCTTTCTTCTGAGCACTACTTCGCGTTTTGAGAGCTCTACGAGGGCTCTGGCGGTAACGTGGTTGACGGTCTACCGCCGGCTCCCAGTTTGGAAATTCGCTTTCAGAATCCAGATTCTTGTTCCCTGGAGCACGCGGAGGGGCGACGGCAGCGACGGCGAAGCGGCGAGTGCCGGCGGCAGGCGTCCGGCGGCGGTCGGCCGCCGAAGGCCCGCGGCGAACGCCCGCGGCCGCCGAAGGCCCGCGGAGGCCCGCGGCGGCGACCGCGGCCAGCGGAGGCCCAGAGGTGCACCGAGACCGCTCGAGGAGGAGGAGGAGGCGGAGGAGGCGGAGGAGGAGGAGGAGGCGGAGGAGGCGGAGGAGGCGGAGGAGGCGGAGGAGGCGGAGGAGGAGGCGAAGAAGGAGGAGGAGGAGGCGGAGGAGGAGGAAGGGTGTCCAATCCGAGGCGCGGATGTGTGTCCAAAGCACGGCCTGGGGGATCGAGCTTCGGGGACCTCGGCATGCGGTGGACATGGACCTATCATCGGGCCCCCTTGGGGCCAGAAGCTGTCCACAGCTGCCGCCCGCTGGGGCCCAAGGAATCGGTCTCCCAGGCGGTGGATGTGGACAGATCCCCGCCTCGCATCCGAGATGGGGGCGTCGAAGATGGGGGGTCGTGCATTATAGCCCGAGGCATCCGCGCGGACGAGGGGGGGGGCCTGGGGACGTGTTGGAAGACGACGAGAGCGCCATGGCATCACGGGAGATTTTCCCCGGCCGCAGCCATGATACCCCCCTGGTCATCACAACCCTCTTGGACCGCCCTGGGAAGACGGGCCTACATGCGAGAAGCGGGCCCCCAAGAATCCAGCAGGTACAGATACCGCTCCTCACGGGACCTCTCAGGGAGAGCCCAGAATCGAATCGACAAATCGGATCGGCGATCGAAACGAATCGGATCGGCAGGAATCGGCAACCGAGACGGGAGAAGTCGAATCGGCGGAATTCGGCAGGCTAGCAGGCCTCCGTTGAGAAATCGGAATCCGAATCGGAGTCCCAAGCCGCATCGAATCGGAATCGGGATCCATCGGAATCGGATCGAGTCGGAGGAATCGAATCCAGCCCTGCCTCTCCCGGCTTGGGTCCTGACCAGGATGCCGAAGCACAGGAGGCCCAGAAAAAGGCGAAAGCGAGGCACCATGGCGCGGGGGCAGCGGCATCCTCTCCGTCGCTCGGACGTCTTCTGACGGTCTCGTGCGCGTTTTCTTGGCGGCGCGCACGAAGGGGTATGGGGAAGGGGGAAAGGCTTCTCAGAAGGAGGCTGCCTCTGAGCAGGGGGGAAGGCTTCTCAGAAAGGGGGAAGGCTTCTCACAGGGGGGGGAAGCGGGGGGGAAGGCTTCCCTGCCCCCCTCTGCGCGTGACCGATTCTCATGCTCGATGACCCAAGGTGTTCCAAGATGCTCCTCGAGGGCCCTCGCCGAGAAAACATGCGCACGCTCGAGCGATGCCCGGGCCTCGGTGGCAGCAGAGGCCCAAGGGCCGCCCTGCGGCGGCCCGCGGAGGCGGAACCGTCAGGCCTTGTGAGGAGCCTGCAAGGCCCTGCTGCACGTCGGCACGCAGAAGGGGGCAGGGGGCAGGGGGGAAGGCTTCTTAGGAGGAGGCCGCTTCTTCGACGGCACCAGCCTTCTGCACACAAGGCCCTGCGCCTTCTCAGAAGCAGGGGTGATTCGAAGAAGCCTTCCCCCCTCCCCCTACTCCTCACCGCGCGTGGCCGAGCTGTGTCAATGCGCATCTGGCCCTGCAGGATCCTGCAGGATCCGGCGCTCTGACGGACCTGCGAAACCGGAAGGTCCACCCCCCAGGCCTCTCCTGGGGTGCTCTCTGACCAGGATTCCGAGGCGAATCCGGCGGTGGCGACGGCGGAGGCCCAGGAGGCCCGGGAAGGGGAGAGAGGCCCAGAAGAGGCCCAGAAAGGGGAAAGGGGAGGCCCAGAGGACCCCCGCTGGCATCGACCCCCGTCTCTTGAGCCCCGACCAGCGGGCGGCGGCCCCAAGCCGGCGGGGCCGCCGCGCTACGCCAAGACGGCGGCGGAGTTCGCGCACCAGGCTGCGCGCGGCGGCATGGAGGAGGAGGAGGAGGAGGAGGAGGAGGAGGAGGAGGAGGAGGAGGAGGAGGAGGAGGAGGGGAAGGAGGAGGAGGAGGAGGAGAGGCGGCCTCCGCGTCGGCTGGGGCGAAGGCGGCTGCGCGCGGCGCCGCGGCTCCTCTGTCTGTCTGTCTGTCTCTCTCTCTCGCGGGCGGGGCGAGGCCCAGATCTCCACCGGTGTGGCCCTGCCGCCTCCCGAAACCGTCGTCGTCGTCGTCGTCGTCGTCCTCCTCCTCCTCCTCCTCCTCCTCCTCCTCCCTCCGCCCTCTTCGTCTTCCTCCGCCTCGTCCTCGTCCTCCTCCCCCCTCCGCCTCCTCTCCTCCTCCTCCTCCTCCTCTTCCTCCTCCGCCCTCTTCGTCTCCTCCCTCCTCCTCCTCCTCCTCCTCCTCCTCCTCCACCTCCTCCTCTTCCTCCTCCCCCCCCTTCTCCTCTCGGGGGCGGGCTGAGCGGTTTCTCCTCGACTTCGGCCTCTGTTGGGCGTCGCTGCCCGGGGGGGCGATGAATGGGGGGGGGGAAGAGAAAGGTGCACTCCTCGGGCCCTCAGGGCCCCCATCTGGGGGCCCTTTAGGGGCCCTCAAGGGCTCCTGCTCCGCAGCTCTCGCTGCCCCCCTATTCATCGCCCCCATCGTTGCCCCCCTA